CAAATGCTCGTTCTATGGGATAGTTATGTTTTGAAGCTCTCCGATTGTGCTATCTTGTGCCGTGTCGGCCATTTTGATCCGATCGTCTATGCGCTCAGACAAAACGTTCGAGCTATATTCTGAAATTAATTGTAGTAGTTTATAGTAGAGAAAATATTAGCAAAAAAGTTAATAGCAACAATTCGCATAAACATTTAAGAGCGAACCAGCATGTTAAACAACTTCACCATTCGAGTTTGTAGCACGGTTGCAATTCATTACATTATAAACCACTACCACTTTATCAAACGCCAATTAAAATAGCGTCCATTCAGCATTATGACACTCACTTGTATAAAACGAGGGCATTATCCAATGGTTGACAGAATTTTAAGACCCAGGCAGGCCAAAAATGAACGAGATGCGAATTAATTCAGCATAGTTTTATAATTAATTATTTAGCTTTTTGGTTACGCCACAAAAACAGATTGGGACGTGCAGACATTAGTTCATGACATTTGAGACCAGTTAGTTTCTTCTGTAGTAACCTTCATTCAATGAGATTGCTTTCGTTCGGCGTCTGCAATCATACGCATTGCACAACCTGACATACAAACTATTAGAGTTGATAAATCTAGCATACAATGAAAACGTTTCATGATAGAATGATCAAATACCATAGATGCGCCGATAAAGTAAAATATGTCATCATGAAACACACCATGATAACCATGATCTCATATATACATTAATTACTCTATCATTTAACTTTACTGATTACATACACCACTGTAAATATTTGTATATATATTGGAAGACTCTTACATACATGCTAAACACCAGATACACAATGGATACACCTCCAGCGCCTCCATTATCAAACGATGCTTCGTCGGTAGCGCAACAAGAACCGCCAGCTGCGCTCCCCGAGGTATATCATGAAGGAATTCCCGAATCTGTAGAATCCGAGCGTTTGTCCGAATTGAAAAAAGTCGCCAGCGAGCGTGCATCAAGAGAAGGTCCCTGCGTGACCAAAGGAAGTCCTGCTGCCCTTGCCCGTGAGTATTCGTGACGAAATTGCGATGGATGATATTGTCGC